TTCCATAAAATGGTTTTTATTTGTTTTGCTCTTTGAGGGGAAGCAATTTCTTGTTCATTATTTCTCAATAACAGTTTTAATCGCAGCCTCTTTGCAGTACCAAACCATGTTGAGGCAGATGAGTCAGAGGATGTGATTGTGGGGAAGGGCTCTCTGGCCGTGTCTTGTGGGCAGGTGAGTGGTACCCTGGGTAGGACTGGGTGTTCTCTGACCATCCTCTCAGCTGCTGTAGCTCATCTCCAGCAGTAGAAACTCCACAGTCTTCTTGATAACTTTGGGGCAACCAGAGATGGGATCCTATAAGAGTTTTTAAATGATCTCCAGCCAGAAATGAATGGATTAAGAAGTTGTGGCACATTCATACAGTGGAATACTACACAGCACACAGGAGCAATGCTTTTGTAAATTACTACCTAACTTGGGGAGGACTGGAGAGCATTAGGCTGAGTGAACTAACTCAGTCTCATAGGGACAAATACTGTATAAATCTATTATTGTAGAATGAATATGAGGATCCAAGGGGGAGGGCAGAGTGGAAGCAGAGGGGTGAAGATGGGCTGGGTGGAGTGGGTGTTAATCATAGGGTTGCACGATTTCATAGGTGAGGGAATGAAGGAAATGGGAAGAATTTTTTGTGGAAAGCAATGTGTTAAAATTTTGTGAATAAATCAGTATAAAAAAGGTTTTTAAATAAGTGAAAGTTTATATGACAAAGTCAGTTTGCTTTCTCACAATTCGTTTGAATTCAGCTTGTTTTCTGCCATTGACTGAAATCCTCACAACATAATAGCATTCATCCTATCCACTACTTGAGTTCCCTGTTTCGGTTCACCTTCTATCCTCTCCTTTCCAATCTTATGAACTTTGTCCCCAGGCAAAGTCTGCTCTTTTGCTCTCTAATAGTTAACTGTTCTAAGATGTGGTACCTCCCTGGTCTAACTAGTCATCTTGTAGATCTGTCTATTGTTAGGCTGAAAGTTGAACCACCAGGGTGAGTCCAGTTCTGAGTCTATAGGCAATACACGTGGAGTTCCACTAGTTTCTGCCAAACTGGTAAATGTATTCTTTTTGTATGATTATTGTTTTGCTTTGTTTCACATTACTCTCCACATCTGTCCACAAAACCAAACCAAATCTATTGCCCTGGAGTTGATTCCAACTTCTCATGACCCTCCATTAGACTGTAAATCGTAGCAGGAGACAGGCTCACTCATGCAGAAGAGCTGGCCGGTTTTAAATGCTGACCTTTTACCGACTCCTATGCTACCTGGACTCCAAGCCTATTTGGATTCCTTCTGAGTTGTTGGTTTTGGTGTAGGGCCTCATACAGTTCTTCTGGTTTTGGAGTTCAGGAGGTCGGAGTTTGTGCACCATATTTTCCTTTGGACTGATTGTTTCCATGTATCTTTGATTTTCTTCAATCTTCTTTGTTTTAGACAGGGGGAGACCTTTGGGTTGTACTCCTGAAGTGGAATGCAGACCATTTTCTTTGTGGAATCTATTGTGCCAATTTACCTTGATGTCCCCTGAGACTTCCCATAAAGCTTTAATATGATGTTTGTATTGCATTCAACTCACATAACATCTTATTATTCAAATCACATAACATCTTATATCTTATTATTCATTGCAAATACATTTTATAAGAGACACAAACGCAGGTTATACACATGGACTTCACCTGACGGTATGCATAGGAATCA